AACAGCTGAAATCAGAGGGGCCTAAGAAAGGAGTCCCAGCTGTCTTGTGTCCTGTGGGCTGAGCTCTGCCATGGAGTTCTCCACAGGCACCCTTCCCCTCTCCCCCTACCATACAGGGAGCACTTTGTGCCCTGGGACAGTGACACCATAAGGCAGTAGAGAATAAGGGCCCAGTTTTAGATCATCCCACACCTCACACTTTGTGCATCCATTTTGCACTAGTCCAAATGGTTGCACAAGGGAACGAGTCAACCAGCAACTGAGCCCCAAAAGAGCAGTGGATGGAGACCCTGCAGATGTCTCACAGGATTAAGACAGGAAGGGAGGTAAAAGAAGTGCATCCACTTACTTAGAGACCAGGGAACCTTAGGGGCAAGGCCACCCCACCTTGATTGCAAGCTTGCTGGGGCTGGTTTTCCTGTTCTGCGTTTGTAGAGCACCTAGCACCCTGTGTCCTGGTCCGTGACTGGAGCTTCTGCAGTTCAGATAGTTACTAACAGTGCATCCCAGCCCTTCCCTTCAGCTCTCTCTCAGTGATAGAAACCCGGAAATGGGGAAGGGGGAGTGGGTTCTGCTCATGGCTCACCTGCCTCAGACCTCCAGAGCTTAGAGAGGAGCACTGAACACATCCAGCCTCATTCCAAAGCCTTCCTGGGGTGCAGTCCATCAGCACATAGCTCCACATGGCCACTTCTCATTTGGACAACATGCTCTGGCTTTCATTAAGGACCAGATTGCAGCAGGAAGCTTTTCCTTCCAAGGATGTGGCTCCTCTGAACAACATTAGGCTGAGCTAGACTCAGGGTCCATGCAGCCCTCATTTTGCAGCCTCCTTCTGGCAGGCAACCCAGCTCTCTGAGGCACCAGCAGGAGACCTCTGGCAGCAATGCTGCACCTTTGCAGGGGTATGCTGGTGCAGAGCAGTGTTTAGTGCTAGGGGGGGCTCCAGCTGCTAGCTGGGTATCTGACAGGGAGCTTCAGCTCAGCTGTGCCAAGGGACAAGTTCAAAGCCAAGGAACAAGCTCAAAGCCAAGGGACAACAGAGCTTGAGCAAGTCAGCAGGTGACAACCTAATGGTGCAGTAGGAACACCAGACCCCAGTAACACCCATGCCAGTCCCCTCTGCTGATCATAGGATCATAGAAAATTAGGGTTGGAAGGGACCTCAGGAGGTCATCTAGTCCAACTGCCTGCTCAAAGCAAGACCATCTCCAACTAGATCATTCCGGCCACAATTTTGACAAGCCGGGCCTTAAAAACCTCCAAGGATGAAGATTCCACTATATCTCTAGGTAACTTGTTCCGGTGCTTCACCACCCTCCTAGTATCCTGATGATCAAGGGCAACCAGCACAGTTTCATTAGGGGCAGGTCATGTCAGACCAACCTGATTGCCTTTTACGATCAGGTCACAAAAGCATTGGATGCAGGTGTTGCCGTGGATGTAGTCTTTCTGGACTTCAGCAAGGCCTTTGACACTGTCTCCCACCCCATCCTCATTAAAAAACTAGGCGACTGTGGCATCTATGCCTACACAGTCAGATGGATTGCTAATTGGCTGAAGGGTCGTACTCAGAGGGTGGTGGTGGATGGGTCATATTCAACCTGGGGGGAAGTGGGCAGCGGAGTCCCCCAGGGCTCGGTCCTTGGGCCCGCACTGTTCAATTTCTTTATCAGCGATTTGGACGACGGGGTGAAAAGCAACCTGTTCAAATTTGCTGATGATACCAAAATGTGGGGTGAGGTGGGCACGCTAGTAGGGAGGGAAAGACTGCAGAAAGACCTGGATAGGTTGCAGGGGTGGGCTAACAAAAACAGGATGCGTTTCAATACGGACAAGTGCAGGGTGCTGCACTTGGGCAGTAGTAACCGGCAGCCATCTTACAAGATGGGAAACTCCCTTCTTGAGAGCACGGAGGCAGAAAGGGATCTTGGAGTCATCATTGACTCCAAGATGAACATGGGCCGACAATGCGAGGTCACGGTCGGCAGGGCTAAC